GGGGGGGGCGGGGGGGGGGGGGGGGGGGGGGGGAGGACAAATGGGGCAATCTGCCCCGGGACTCGCGTATTAAGGGGCCCCAAGGATGCCTCCAAAGCGTCTCAAGGGGGCCCCCTAGGGGTCACCGGTTTAGTTTTGCCCCGGGCCCCTGGAAACCTCCGGGAGGCCCTGACTGAAACCCCCCCCCCCCCCAAAAAAAGGGGAGGGTTTACTCATTCTTTGTCATGAGGAGTCCCTTCTAAAATATACATTTTTATAGGTATGTTATAAATAAATTGGATGGCTACTCCCAGTGGCGTACCTAAAGGATTGAGTCATAATCCCCCCACCCCTTGTGCGATTTAAAATTTATTTTAATTCAATACTAAGCAAGATTGGTTACCAATTTTTCATGCCCCCTTCCTTCTCTGGGATTTTCTGGGCATGCTACTGGCTACTCCTCACATTCGAGTGGCAGCAAGTTTGTATTAGGTCGTGCATGAGCTTCTGCTTATAAAACCCTTCATGCACTTGAACATGTTACACCGTGTTCTGTGCTTACTGATGCTCAGTTCCGCAATCTCTGGATGACATTGACTCCTTTGAGTTCGCGAGATGAAGACATCAGAGCGAAAACTCCTGGACGTCGGCCAGACCAAAGAGAGAAAGGCCAGACTCCATCCGAAAGGGAGATTTCGCTTCTGTCTTTCTAAAGTGATTCTCGTTCCTCCGCTGCTCGACGCAGAAATGGCGAGAATAGGTCATGTAATGAAGCACTTGATATGAAACTTCTGATAATGCCAGAATCGTTGTATGGTTCAATATCTTGCAATACTATAAAAATGAAAGGTTATAGTGAGAATGCGTTGGGTTGGACGGAAACAGAGTCCGTCCTGCCTGTAACACCGAGACTCTCGAGGAATTTGCTCTACGATTGCGAAAATGACTCCAGCTGAAACCCATGCAAGAACGATCGTATTGCAAAGACCTTAAATGTTCCAGGTGTCCTTCCCATGCGATGCCACACTTTACTCTTTCAAAACGTGGGTTTTGAAACTAAGTCAGTCGACCACGTACCCTTTTCACAACTTCCCCCATTGTCATGGAGGCGAAAGGCACCGGGCAACGAACGGGGCAACCGCAATTACTGGACTTCATTCGCACCCGCTGACTACATCGGCCGGAACTCTCCACCGGATACCTCCCTTCACTCGTCGCATAACATATACACTTTCACTTGGAAATCTACCAACGTTGGCTAATGAGCAACCATACGGTAAGAGAAAAGGCAATACCTCACACAAACAAACGCGATCAATGTACTTTCTTTCAGGATCTAAAAGAATTAAACTTGCAGGAACCACCCAACAGACCTCCAAGAACTGCCATTGTATTCGCTCGAAGACTGACTTGATGATTACATGATATGCTGTGACAGATGAATGAATAATGACTGCAAATGTGCAATTGTATGCAAAACGAGGCGAGCTTGCCATACCCATCAGAGGCTGCCATTCCAAAGAAAATCCATTAACGATCAAGTACAATATCCCAAAGAACCACTCAAGTTTTAATGATAAAAAAAAACTAATTTCCATATATGCTGGACATACGGATGAATACTGTGAACTCGGATGAAAAATGTTGTCCTAAGCTGCAGAATGAAAGGCATTGGTTTGAAAAATATCCTTTTTTCACCGATGGTACATTTCCAATTATGCAGGAACAGGGAATAGATTTCATGGAATTTGAAGAAAAAAAGAACACCAAGAACTTCCAACCAGTGAAATGAAAGGCAGAGCCTGAAAAACCAGTTTCTTCATCCATGGTAGACAATTGCATATAAAAAAAAGCAAGAAAAAAACCATAAAAACTACGCAAATTTGGTGGATCCCACATTGAGGAATTGGATTTTTCCAGCATACATTCTCTCCAAAAAAAGGCCTTTCACTTGTGCAAGCTAATTTTTACACACAGACAAAACTGACACATTCTCATTCAGATATGTTATCACAAATCTGTTGTCACAAAAAATATCGTAGAGTAGCTTTCAAGCTTAATGTTGTGAAAAAAGGACACAAGTTTTCATGACAGCATAAAAAACTGGAACTGTAGTCTTAAAAATAGCTGAGCACATGCAGGAAAGAGAAAAAGTGAGCAAATGAGCTGAAGATCACTCTGCACCAATTTTCATGGGAGAATCTGTCTTCTCTTCTTTGATCAGAGATGCCACATGGAAGTACCTGCAAATAATAACATACAATGTGAAAAATGAACACTTTAAAATTGGTTCTATTTCATGCATACAAATATATAAATGTCAATATAAAGCATTGGACCAATACTAAAGTTTTTACTTGAATACTTGGAAGTGCAAAATAGTTGTCTATGTGGCATGGCTTCAGCAAATATCTGAAGTAGGGCAAGATGATTGCTGACACTGCTGGGCACAGTGAAAACAATTTTGTAGTTTTTTCAGCATTAAACCTAATTCTCTTTGTTGCTTGTGTACAAAAGACTTGGCATTGGCTACTTAGCTGTATATTTGAAAGATTAATCAACAGTGCAAAGGAATATGCAATTCTGAAAAGTATATGTTCTATAAATGTACTCTGTGACCACAGAACAATGAAAAGTGCTAACACCTTCACCCCTGTGGAAAAGATCCTATTCAAAAAAGCCAGGTGGGAAAAATAGCACTACAGTTTTTTGTGAACATGTGAATATCATATCAGGAACATTGATAATTTGTTTGTGTCATGAGAAATTTGAATACAATCAAGAAATTCTTGTTTGTTTCTGTCATCCACATAGTCCAGCTCCTTCATTTTCTTATCCTCACAGATCTGTTGAGCTAAGAGTATGTCATAGGTTCTTTTCACAGGTCCTTTGCAAAAACAGGATGTAGGGTAAAAGACCCAGTGATGGGCCACAGCACATATAAATTCCAACAGCTAAGCTTCCATAGCATGCCTACCCCTGACATGACATAGGCTAGCAGCATTGAAGAACACACACACTTCAGGTGTTCATGGAACAAATGCTTAGTTTTTATAATTTCCTGCAATGTGGCCCATCACTGGGTGTTTTACTCTACATACAAATTGTCCAATGAAGAGATGATGCATCAGCAAATCTTCATATGAACAACCAGTATTTAAAAAATTTACCTTCAAAAAGCTCTTTGGACTTGGTTCTATGTGATTGTTGAACTGATTTCTCTTTATTGTGATCAGTTCTATGCAGTCCATTAAATTTGAATGTATTGCTGAATGGAAAAACATTAGTTGCAACCAATGGTACACTCACCTGTAGTTCTCTCAGGAACTTCTGGAGAACCCAAGGTAAAATTTAGTGTAAAGGTAGTTACATGTCTGCCTGCAAATCATTAAATTTTTCTCAAAATCTAAACTGGTTGTTTTTGCAAACATCAAGTCAAAGCTGTTTACCATGACCTCATCAATAAAAGTAAACTCTTAGCACTTAAAAAGTCACATATATGTAATGGGCTCGAAAAGAGCCTTCAAACGAGCAGAGAAAAAGAGGTCTCGATCTCAAACTGGACAGAATTTATGAGGGGAAGACTGTATCAGGGAGCAGCATTAAGACATTTTGGCCTGAATTTTCATGGCCTGAGGAAAAAGACAGCTATAAAAACCATTATATTTTGCAGTTTCACATATTTCTACACCATTTATTAAATTGGAATAAAACAGATATTTAGTGGGAGAAAGGAAGCATTAGAAAGCAGGAAAAAAAAGTTTTAAAATAACTTGAAATTGTAATTAAACTAATAATCAACCAAAAAGCCAAGCTAAATTGGCAATCCTGGAAAGTACATCCTCCTTACAAAGTCACAAATGACATAGGAGAACTTTCCAGTTTCTCCCTCATTTATGGCAATTAGCACAAAAGTAAAAAAAAAAAAATCATATGAATCCAACTAGCAGGATGCATATTTAAGACTAGAAGATTAAGCAGGGATGACATACTTTGGTAAGCTGTATTTGTTGCGTATGACCTGCATCTGGGGATGCTTGAAGGAGAGGGAAAGGATGTGCTGGAGGTGAGCAATAGGATCTCTCAAGGCCTGCACAGTGTAACTGGTGACTTCTTGGAATTTCTTCTCACATAGGAACACATCCTTGATTTCAAATGTCAAGTAGAATGCTGCAGATGCCAGTTCTGATGGCAGGTACTTCAGGGTTTCGGTTTCAATTAGTGCCAGCTCCAACATAAACTGGAAAGGAGTAAACTTCTTAATTCTAACTCTTTCAAGGGTCACATCAGCAAATGTATGTGATATGTCTCCAGTAAAACAAACTATCCAAGAGGAACAACAAACTTCAAATTTAACAAATATGACATATATGGCAGTTCCAGTCATTCCTGGGATTAAAATATCCCTTTAGGAAGTACATATGCAGCAAGTGCCATAAAACATGCATGCATGAAAGTGAAATGCAGAACTTTCATGCAAGTGCACATGACAAGAAAGCCCACACTTGAATGGCATTTATAAGCAATACATAATCAATATATAATCAATAAGAGGACTAAGAGATTGAAAAACACTTAAGAGCATCATTATGACTAATGGTGAAATAACAAAACAGTTAATGATACCATTACAGAAGTGTTGAATACCAAGTAAATCCTATTCCCACTATCATGAATTGGTGCAATGAACAATTAATCATAAGGTGGGGAGAGGGTTTTTTTTTTCATCCTTGAAGAACTCCTGCTCCATTTCAAGAATTTAAAAAAAGAGAAAATTAAATATTAACCTGCCTCTTACCAGAGGGATGAATGAGAAACTAATTCACATAACATGTTATGCTAGCTTGATTACAGATGTTGACTCTCAGAGAGGATAGGCATGCCCTGTTTACATTGCATATATAGGAGGGCAATATGACATAAAAGAGGTCAATGAGATACCCCTAGCAACATTGAGAAGTTGCATATGAACAAGAAGTCAACTTGACTCCCAGAGATACTTGGTTATTTCATAGCAAGATCAGCAGCAACCTTTGACATCCTCCCCTCATCCTCCCACTTCAATCCCCATTGGAGCAAGAGGCAATAATACAAAGTGCTTTCGATTAGCAGTCAAGAAACAATTCCATTAACCAAATCAAGAAACATTAGCTGCTTTTACATCAAGTGGCAAAACTTTTCTTACCAAACCAAGCCGGATTGTAGATTCATTGGCATTGGCATCAGAGACAAATTTGGAGAAGAAGACAAGAGGTGTAGGGGCACACATGTTGAACTCCAGGACTCGAAGCATGAGATGCTCCATTTTCAATACCTGCTCCTTGGTGTATGTATCATCAGTGATGTATGTGAATTCCGAAATCTCAGGTGGATAGATCTCCTCATATTTCCTACACATGCAATCAAGAAATAGACAAACAGGTACCTACATATGTAATATGTTGAACTGGCATAGCCTCTGGCTTATTTCAAAAAAGGAAATTCATGCATTCAATGTCCACCCGAAGGGTTTAAACATGCTAACTCAAAAGATTAGTCATTGCACTACTTTTGGATTGGGACAGAGCCTCAATATACCAATAACAAAACCACAAGTTACAATAATCCTTGTAAGATTGTTTGTAAAAATGTGAACCCATGTGATGCCAATAAGGCTAACAAAACATGCAAGTCCAGCACTTGAGGGCACTCTATAGAATGTGCCCATAGCTGAAAATCATTCATACTGGTTAACACTTTTCCATTTGAACTGAAAGAAAAGCAGAGATGGAGCTTACGCAGCTATGAACATGGCAGTGACCCCAACAAGCTGGAGTTTGCCTCTCAAGACAGACATCACAGATAGGAAACGATCCAGGTAGGAAATGGTGAGGTATAATGTTTCCAGCTCCAGGTTGTACTCCTCAGCAACCTCAACAAGCCATTCAACCAGGATGGACCGCATCTGACTCGTGATGTCTGGCTGCTTCCTTATATAATTATGTTTCGGCCGGTATCGAACCTGGAGACAGATTGATTCAAAACTTACATGACAGCAATGGACTTATTCAATAATGCAGCATTTTTAGACTACATTTGCACCCACAGCATTGAAATTTGAGTTTTTGATGCCATCATTAAGTTTGCAATGTAACACTTCCATCTATAATCACAGATATATTGCATATAATAGATATCAGACTTCTGCATTGCAAATAATCTGTACATCTAATCAGCAGATGCCTAAAAATGTCATGCCTGTTCTTTCTGCTAGTAAGAAAATGTATAAGAGACTCTTCCCCTCTGATTATGTACTTATTTCAACTGTGTTCTATGAAAAAGAATTTTTTCTATTGATATGGCTTACAAAAAGCCTTACATGCAGATCTTAGCCATCACAGTTCCACTTTTGGTATAAATTTTCATCAACTCAGCACAGCTAATATTACAAAGACTTTCTGGAAATGAAGCAACAGTCACCTCAGCCTCCATCAGATATTGGAATATGTCAGCAGAATATTGAGGCAGTGTCAGGAGTTCCTTCTTCTGTGCTCGAAGCAACTCTTTTTCCCTCTCCATCTTGTCCATGAAGGAGGCCTCCATGGAATGGCAAGTGGAGGCCCTTTTCTCTTCCACCAGATTTTCCCCAGCCATCTCTCTTGCACTATTGATGAGATTCTCTTCCTCTTCGGCTTCATCCACCAAATCCACATCTTCAACAGTCTTAAGGATGCTGGTGGGCAACACAATAGAGGAATCCCACTGCATGGGGGAATCAGCTCGCAAAGAATCATCTCGTAGATGTGAGATCCGGGAAATTTCATCTTGAAACACCTGCACAACTGATTTGACACTTTCACTACTTTTGTCTGATGGAAGGACTTCCCTAGCATGACTTGTGCGACCAACAGGTTGAAGAGGCACCCGGGTCAGTCCTTGCTGGGCCTCCTTCAGAGGAGCCAGAGGCTGAAATGGCACTCGAGTCATTTCCTTCTTCGTCCCCTTCTGAAAGTGAGTCAACTTGTCTTTCGAGAGATTTGGTTGAATGTTTTCCTGGTCTTGTTTGAAGGAAGCTCTAGGAATGCAGACAGGATCAACTGATAGTCTGGTAGGAGCAACAGATTTCTCCTTGTCATAGTAAACTTGCATTTTGCCTTTCCCCAGATATGCTCTCCCTTGTGTTCCAGGCTGTGAGAGAGAAGGAAATTCAAATCTAAGTATCAAAATACAGATGATTATTATGTAAAAAGGACATTCAAGAACACCATAGAGCCTAAATTATTAGGCACAGGATTGTCCCATAGCAAAGGCAAGATAAGTGGCACTTGAGGAATCAATTCCAGAACTTGGCAAATTTTGCCACAGGGGCATCACCACTTCTTTTCCTCAAGGAAAACATTTAACCCTCATAATATGCTTTAATAAAATTTTCAGGAGGCTTAGATTACTCTGATAAGTTCCAGCTAAAAGCTGAGAGCAGCAGTTCAAATTATCCACAACACAACATTCATAGCACATCCATACAATAAAGTCCTACAGGTAAAAAAATAAAAAAATATAAAAAAATTGTTAGTAAAATCGAACTCAGTTATAATGTCATAAAAAGGACCAGGGAAAAATCGTCATAATAACCAAGGTTGCCTTAATTGACATTCCCTTTTCCTGTTTTCAAAATAGATGCTATATAACATTACAACTCCAGTGTACATTGATAATGCCACACTAGCATCAGTTTCAGGATTGACCCACTAGCCGTAATGTTCCCACAACTTTGGACCTTGAACTACTTTATACTTTAGCAAGGCCTCGTCGATGTCATCTCGACAGATGTACTACTACTACTACAGTTTCTCATTTTGAAATATGTTCTCATAAGCATAGATGAAGTTATGACTTTCCCAAATTGTGGAAACAGGTGAACAGATGTCCATGTTTTTCGAGGGGGACTTCATCTTTACTTCGAGCACTTTCAAATAAATTAATCATGCACACTTTCCTTTCAATCGTGAAGGCTGGCCTCTCTCACTTTCCACTGGCCACGTTGTCAACGAGAAATGTAATGGTGACTGAAGATAAGATAATCTTGGTTACTGGAGATTACCCCTCCCTCACCCTCCTCCAGTCACACCCACAAGACTCTCAAGGAATGCTGATTCCAGGAAAGATAACATGGCTAGCCAACACTAGTTTTTCTTATGGTGGAAATTGCAGTTAAGAATGATGGATTAGGGACTTCAACATGGTCAATTTTGTCAGTGGGTCAGTTCAATGGACTTCATTATAACCAAGGTAAAATGTAACGTGCCTTATGGGCTCTATGCAGGGACCTGGTACTTTTCGTCATTATAACAGAGTTCAACTGTAATTAGAAACATGAGAATTTCATCTCCTTAGAATTCAAAGTTCTACATGTTCTAACATCAAAACCCCAGATATGCCATGTATGCCAAAACGTAGTGTACTTTCTGACCTGATCAGCTGCTCTGGCCAAAGAACAGCTTTCTTGCACAGCATACTAGAACCTGACTGCATTCAATGCCAAACAATTCACACTAAGGCATGATTCTAATTGACTTCAATCAACAGTAATTTTGATAGCAAGTTCTTTATTAAAGAAAAACTATTTGTATCATATGCACATAACCATTCATAACCATAACTCTTTCCATTACAAAACACATACATGAAGCAGAAATGGTAATTGTCCTTTTCTCAAGAAGAAAGGGATAGCTAGACTTGAATATATGATGAAATGCTGAGACATTGTCTTAGGACAAGAACCTAGAGAAGTTTTGATCTGAAATAACTAATGTTTGAGGTTCTTCCTCTAAACCAGTAGGTCAATCTTGAAGAAGACAACTCACCTTTGGGAAGGGAGGAGGGAATTTATGCCCACCAGCTGCCATCATTTTTGGTTGAATGGTGCCAAGCACAGATCTCTGTTGCCTCTGCAGTTGTCCTCGGACATTGGCTTGCATAGTCTCCAATTTGGATATTCGCTGATTTGTGGCATTTTGAGCATCTCCATTCTCATCATGAAAAATTGAGGACATTCTACAAGGATGCTGCTTGTAGACTATCTCAATGGGGTTGGGCAGGATTCTTCTGCTCTAGACTCAAACCTAAAATACAATGGCAATTTTTAAATTCATAATAACTTGATAACCTTATAATTCTACATAGCAACAGCAGGCATAGTGGGTCACATTTTGGTTCAGTCTAAGTAGGCCTAATAAGACTAGAGTGACCCAGCATCCTAGTTTTTCTGGCTATGTCCCATTGTGAATTTTCCTTTCCATCCTCGTTTCTCCCATTGCAGGGACTAACATTCTGACATTTTCTTACAAATGTCCTGGTGTTTTCCTAGAACAAAACCTCGTCACCCTATAAGTGAGTGAACACATACTGCGACTTGTAAATGACCACCTGAACCTCAAGGCAATAAGCAACCAAGGCAACCAATTCTCTCCAAAGGCCTCAGCCTGGCTGTTCTTAATTCAGTTGCTGCTAGCAAGTTGACCACCATGATTAGCACCTCCAATCCAATGGACATAAATGTACATCCAGCCCTAATTAGCATCAGACAACAGTGGATGCAATAGTACGTCCTTTGAAATTTTTCACATTTTTAGGTGATTTCCCACAATGAAAAAACGACCTTATACTTAAATTTACAAAAAAGAGCAAGTCTCTAACACTTTGAGTTCCAAACTTAAAAACTTTCTTTTTGCAGACTTCAAATACATCTGTCACACCCTCCAGAGTGAAAGTGTTAATGGGCACCAAATCTTTCCTAGGGAAGACCAAGATAGCATGCCTTAGTCCTGTGGGTAAATCAACAGATCTGCCAACTGGGGCAATCACTTTGGTGGTTATCCACACAATAAGTTAACCAACCACATTTTAGTGACTGTCAGATCAACTAACTTATTTAACTCCTCACCATTAGACTATTGCTAAGGCCTAGACTGTTTTCAAGACTACTCTACAAGTCCAGACCTTTGTTGTATACAGGCTTCAGAACAATTTACCTATATTCGTCCAATGAGGGACTGCTTCTAGTGAACTTGATTACACTGACCTTGCACTTCTTTTATGCAGTTCCCATATCCAGAGCACTAAAACTACTCTCTCTTAATATCCCAACTATTTACCACTCCCTTTATAGTGTTAATCTTATGACTTCAGAAAATGTACATTACATGCTAAAGCCCTGCACCCACCCACACATTTAATTCAACCATGTTTTGAGATGTTAGGAAGCTCCATTTTTTGTGTTTGATGAGGACCTTGACCCTGCTGGATCAAGGGGCAAAGTAGGCAAGGAAGGATTTGCCCAGGACATAAGACAGGCTTGGAACTCACTAAGAGGTAACATGATCCAGGGTAACCTTGGATACATCATGTTACTTTTAATATTGACCCTAGCTCTATGCTACCCTATTCCTAACAAGAACTTAATTACTCATTTCACCCCTGCACATAACCCCTTTCTAAGAAAGTAGAGGGTAAGGAAGCAAACTAGGCCTGAGAGCTAACCATCCCAATCCTCAAAAGTGGTTAAATACGTCAGGCCTAGTACTCCTTGTTTGGTCAATTGGATGAGACTATGGGCCTACTTCATTTTCTGCTGCTTGTAGGCTAGCCTATCCATATAACTAGTTCTTATCATGACACTATTCATTAATCCCCTTCAAAATCAAACTTAAAGAAGCTCTCAAGTTCGGTCAGTGTCAATGATTGCTGGAATTTCTGCGAGAATCGCTTCTATTAGATTCTCATATTTGCTTCTAGGCCTATAATGAATAATCATAAGTGCATTCTCTTCTTGCTCCTTAACGTTAGACCTGGGGCCTACGTAGGTCTAAGGCCGCTAGGCTCTAACCTATGGATTCCGGTTCGGCTGTTAGGCTTAGAGGTAACTCGGAACAAAAACTGAATAGAAATGTCGAATTTGAAATAAGCCTTGACCTAAACCTATAGGACAATTCTCTTCGACGAAGAAGGCGCGCTTATGTTCAAGGTGGGCGCCAGACAGGGGCGAGAACACAAGAGTGGAGTCGGAGGCGAGAGGGGAAAGGCGAGGGAGACAACGAACCAGGCAGGCCGTTGATCGCAACGTCATGACCCACCAGCCAATCACGGACCTCCCTTCGAATCCCCTGTCCCATTCACATCACACTCCCTACGCTCGCTTGAAAGATTAGTCCCTTTGCCAGCTGTGAGCGACGTTGGAAAAGTGAACCATCATGACTGTCCCTGTGGAATGTTAGAGGGCACGCGAGTATACAACGTATATTCATTCTCGCACAACAGCGTATACGCTATCTTCAGACTGACAAGAAAGAATAAAGCGATCATGGAGTTGAAACATATTTTCTGTTTTGTTTTGTTTTGTTCCCCCCCCCCCCCCTCGATCAATCGATTATTGGCTTGATCGGGAATATCATTTTCTCACCGCGATGCAATGACGCTAACAATTTCTTATCCACGCCGGCATCCAGAGGAACCAAAAATATATATTTGCGGTCCAAAATAACCACCCTGGTGATCGCAAGAAGAATTCCCGTGATAGAGCGGTAGAAAACCGATTCACTAACTAGGAAATTCCTGTAAAACCATTGTGTTCAACATCGAAGCCTTCATGGTGCAGTTCGCAGCAGGTATTCCCCTTCCCCCACCTCCTTTAGGGCATCGTACAAAATAGGAGACAGAGCGAGTGCGGTGACCTCCCCAACGTTCTGTCAGTTCTCGCAGTGGACTCATTCTCCCGCTTATTTCATGGCGGGTCCTCTGTCGTCCCCTTTCTTTCCCTCTCGACTATATTGTCCTCCGGCAGGAAATTCTGACTTCACGTGCTGCCATTCCTGCTTCTTGGTGTCATGATGGTCGATCCTCTTTGGATTCGGTATAGCCAAATCAGAATTTTCAAATTGTCGGCGATCTGAGGAAAGGGCGAATACGCAATTTTGAACATTTATCGGAGAGAGAACTTTTGTCTTTTCCGGACTTAACGATTGTACTTGAAGATCGTTCACCTTTCCATTTGAGAGCAAAGTCTCTCAGCTTCATGGTGTAAACTCAATTATTCCTCAACTCAAATTTTGCAGTCCAAGAAATATGAATTCCCTTTCCCCCCCACCCCACAAAAAAAATCTTTAAATCGAAATTCTACTAATACATTCGCCTTTTTGTCAGATCATCGTACGAAATGCACCTCTGGGAGTACTTAAATGGACGTGATAAAGGTGAGTCTAACTCTACGACCAACTTCTTACGCGAAGACGAAACATTACGTCACGAAATGAGCATTAGCCAAGCGGGTGCTCCACGTTCCTCCAGCGAGCCCCGACATGAATGCCGACTCTGAAAACATCTATAATCTTTTTTACGAATCTTTTTCCTTAGTTTGGCGGGTCACCCTCTTCGCACACCCCTCAGACTCATAAAGGGTCTGAAGTACCGTGCATATCAAGTACTGAGTAGAACCTACATTGGACACAGCGTCAGTAAAACCTTTTTCGAGAACTCCGGTTTTGGTTGCAGGCAACCTAGACCGTTGGTATCTCGATAGCATTAAAAGCTTTCCCTCTCGCCTTTAAATGCTCTTCATACAGAGGACTTAGTGTGGCCTCTTCATTTAAAGAACGAAGAATATTATTTATTCTAATGGATTGGATTTTAATCGTATGCCAGAGATTTTGAATACAAACGCAGGCAATAGATATGAATGTAAAAGTCACACAAAATTCATAGGCTTACTGGGTGCTGTGCCTCTACGATCCCCTACCATCAGCTCTGCTTCCAAAGTTCCAGCCAGAAGCGTCTCGTGTATATGGACCTCACTTGAGGAGAGATATACTCGCGTATAGCTTCCTTTTTTATTTATAAAACTTTGGTCTTTGGAACTGGAATCACCCACCAATGCATTGAGGCTCCATGTGAGGCAGTAGTTAGCTTTGCAAACTGGTCAACATATGGCAGGAGCAGTAACAGCTGTGCATTTGCCCCCAGAGCAAATGAAATTATGAAAATTATATTCATCTTTCATTACAAGAAAAAAATCCATGCATGAAAGGTTTAACGAATCCTCACCGTTTACGAAGATTCTTGGATCAACGCCCCACCCCCAATCCACCCCTTCCGCTTCAAATCAGGAGCTGGACGTGGAGAAAGAGGCAATGCGTTGAACACGGCCAGAAGAAAGAATGAAGGACGCGTCGGCGATCAGACGAGACTTGGGACTGAACGTGCCTCCTCGGCGCCGCGGTGCGATGCGACTCTTCCAGGGGTCGCCCTTTCTTCGGGGGGGGGGGGGGGGGGGGGGGGGGCGGGGGGGGGGGGGGNNNNGGGGGGGGGGGGGGGGGGGGGGGGGGGGGGGGGGGAGAACTTCGGGCGTTGCGGATGGTCTTCGCATTTATGTCGTCGGATGAGATTCGTCTCCCAAGATTTGCTGCACGAATCCTTTCCAGAGGGGATCGTGAGGGAATCGCCTCCGGACTCCATGTCGTCCCCGCATCCAATGTTTCCTTCCAATTTATAATGGGCATTTGGTCCAATAAGAGCTGGAGTCGTCAGAAAGTGCAGACTGAGAGGAATTACTACAATTTTTATCATTTATTATTATTTTTTTTTACCTGCCCTGATCGTGTCATCAATCCTCGTACGAGTAAAGTAAGTAAAACTCAGCGTGAAAGGATGACGAGAAAGATTCTACGTGCTTCCCTAGGGACTCTCACGTCTCTGCGATAGCTGGCAGCTTTCATCTCTGAGGGAATACAATGATGACGTCTGTCGTGTATGATTTTCCGCTGATTTCGATCGACAGAGTTCTAAGGAAAATGACCACAGCCGAGAATTCGTTGACCTCTGATAATTGGCCCGGGCGCCACGAATCGCCACCGATGTCGGACGAGGCCAACTAGTGCGATCCCATTGGTTTTGGCATGCACGACACTTCTAGTGGCCTATGTGTGTGGTCTTAGAGACATTCGTCGATAAAGACGAATGTAAGACTGAGAGGAATCCTGGCGAACCTCAGCATTAGAGGAGAAAATAATTCGCTTTCCGACGCAAAATAAATAACTACCAGGAACACGTGAAAGCATATCAGATCAGAGAGCAGAAAAAAAAAGCTTTCGAGTGAAATTTCTTCTACAGCACAGGAATTGGATGGAAATGGCCACGCGATACAGAAGGCTTTTCGCTCTTCAGACCACCGCCGGAAAGGAGCGGGACGTGGTCGAAGACAGTGAAGCTTGGAAGACCCCTGCCCCCCTGCCCCCCCCCCCCCACCATTTCCTCCCCCTTCTCGTGTCCCTCACTTCCTCTCCATTTCCTCCCATTCTCCTCTCCCCTCTCCTGGTTCCGCCGTGCTATGCTTCCCCCTGGTTTGCAGGTTCTTTCCCTCCTTTTTTTTTCTTTCCCCTAATTTTTCATCGGTTAAGGCATTAAATTATCAGACCATGAAATAATGGTGCAGGTATTTTCTCTTATAATAATGTCAATCCTCAAGGTCTGCGGAGGGTCGGTCGAGGTCGAGGGCTTCCTCTCGGACGAATCAGAAAAAAAAGTTTCAAAACCAAAGAATCGACAGGAGTCAATTTTCCGCACTCTAACTCGGACCACCGTGGAATCAAAGAATAGAATTTAGCGAGGCGACGAGGAGAAAGTTTATCGAGTAAAAAAATAAAAAATAAAAAATAAAACTAATATTAAGGACACCCGACTTTCTGAGGGGAAAGTTTCACCTTTTTTATCATTAAACTTTCTCCGCTGGGAACTTTTCGACTTAACTCTCTATGCCTCGAATTTCTTTCGTACGGGAAGAAACGTAACTGGTGACTCAATTTAATTCATATTAACCTGAACAAAACCAAAAACCTTTATTAATTGTACTAACATTTACTAGTGCGACTTCAAAGATACATTGATTCACAGCAGCATGATAAAAAAAAATTATAAATGAAATATTATTTTCAGTCCGTTACTCTGAGGTTACATTGGGACATAGAGGGGAGAAAAACTGTCATGAGAAAGCAATGGAGACGCGAAAAAAAATCGAGGAGGCTGCCATTCGTGAGTTCATGAAACACAGTATTCGTCCACGAAGCGAATAGCAGAGAGTAGCGCGACGTCTATCTCTCCACTCGGCGGATGAGAGACTGCGACGCCCGCAGGGACGGCAGAGGGCAGAGCGTTCGGTTCTTCCACGCCACGCAAGCAGCTGAGGACGGCGGGTGCGAGTGCCATCCGCCTGCTTCTCTCTCTCTCTCTCTCTCTCTCACTCTCACTCACTCTCTCTGTCTCGCTTTCTCTCTCTCTTGGCGCGGATCTGCTGGCACGCGCTGATACAAAGTACCTTGCTCCGGAGAAGTGCTTTTTTTTTGTATTAGTCCTGAGTTCCTTACGATCTCGTATTTCTTGCCGCGCCTGACCTCCCGACCGCTCTCGACTCCTCCGCTTTCCGCTTCTCCCGCTCTCGTTCTCGCGGAAAAAAGGCCTCTCGCGCCGCGAAGGCTCTTTTCGACGAACGGAAACAAGCTGAAACTTTCGTCTGGTCACGAGGGAACGGACAGGGACTAATGTTGAACTCGAATCTCTCTCTAAGGAAATTGAAATCGCTACAGTCCTGTACTTTTCTTTGTTCACTCAGCTTCAAAATAATATCGGCGAGATTGCTGGGGAAAAAAACCGCCTCTTTGCAAGAAACTAATGTAATCTCGATTTATTAATTAAAATTAATTAAAGGCCCACGGTTCACTTCCGACTGAAGTTTCCTTGCTTTCGGGCCGAAGAGCTCCTTATATAACCATCTGTTACGGCTGACCTTGACAGTGAAGGCCCTTCGATTGCCAAGGGCATTCAGGTCGACAGATGACGGTGGAGTTAAGGTTCAGCCACACGACATCCAGTTAGGGCTCAGCCACACGGCATCCAGTTAGGGCTCGGCCACGCGGCATCCAGTCCATTTTCAGGCGTTTTCTATGGACACGGAATTGGCGCCATTTTTCCGACACCAAGCAAACGGTGACGGAAATGGAATTTTGAGGGGAAAAAAAAACTTTGATTTCATCCAATCATTATACCGCTTCTAGTGGGAAACTCCAGCTAAAAAAAAAAAAGATTAAAATACAAAAAGAAAAAATGATTAATGTAAAACGAAGTCTAAATTGTAATTCGTTCTTGCGCGTCTCTCTGCCCTCGAATTCCGCTTTAGATTCAGACCGGAAAATAATCCGGCCTCGTTCTTCGAGGCCGGATTATTTTCCGACAACAGACAAGGTCCACGACCTCCGTGCCGCGTCCGTGCCGCGTCCGCAGGGGATCGAGGACGAGACTCTCGTTAAGGTCGGACTCGGGCCACCTGCCTCCCTTGGTCCCTTGGTCCCTTGGTCCCTTCGTCGGTGACGGAACCTCCCGAAGTACATGGAACCGACTTAGTATCGGATGAATTTAGAAGAACGGCCCGATTTAGTACAAACAGCAATAGCAGTTATATTCTTTCTCTTCAGGAAATAAAAAATAAAAAAAAAAACTTAAAAAAATAAAAATAGAAAATGTTTAAAATATTTATATAAAAAAACAAGAAGAAAAAAAAACGAGAAAGCTTCCATGAAGTGGAAGGAGCTGCATTGCTAATTACTTATCGAAGGCGATTATCGTAAAATCTTTGATATACCGGCTCAAGAGATTAAAATCATTGCACGATTTATATATATGAAGCATCTCGAGTGCGTACTCGAAGCCGCGTGCAACAGCCAGCAGTCAGTCAGCAGTCAGTCAGCGGTCAGTCAGCGGCACCCAGAGTAAAATTCCCGGCTCGGGGGGGGGGGGGGGGGGGTAAAAAAACCCTGGAGGGGGGGGGGGGGGGGGGGGGGGGGGGTGTTAATAACGACCGGAAGGCGTGGTGCCCCCCTTCCCCCCCCCCATTGTCATGGGGACTGCTGAAGCCAATGACAAGATTGAGTAACCAATTTTTTACATGTTGATCGTGATGGGTAATTACAAATGATCGTCGTGACGAGATAAGCAGCTTTAAAAAAAAAAAAACCAGCCGGTCACGCTTAACAATACCGTTTTCCCCCCGTTTTCTGTTCCGCGTCTTTTTGTTTCGTTTAGCGAAACCTCACCCCTTCGATCGTGAGTCCGGAAGAGACGACGTCCAGGAATCCGGCAACGCCGCGACGCGATCCTTTCTCCGCGCCTGGACGCGGCAACCCGGCCGCAACCCGGCCGCAACCCCACGAGACCATATCGCGTGCAATTTTGAATGGGAAGGGAATCCGCTCGGACGCGATAAGGGAGGACGGATTGGGCGGGGTGCAGGGGGGGCAGGGGGGCCAAGGGGGGCCGGGGGGGGGGGCATTTCCGCTCATTGTCGATCCGGACATGACCAGGTCCGGCTGCTGCGCCTCGTCCGCTTCCATCCTCGTTCACGGTCTGTTTTTCCTTTCGACAAATTCATACATTTTTAGGATCGTGTAGAATCGTTGAGACGAATTTTTACGAGAGTATTTCGAGAATAACTTCCTCAAGGCACCAAATAGAATGTTATATTCCACATGAATATAATATTCCATGTGAATACGAGGACCCATGAAAAAGTTTCATGACCGGCCTTTCCACGTGAAAACTCGGTACGCAAATTCGGTTTGAGTCTGCTCCCCTTCGAAACGGCTCCCTCGGCTTGCGACGCACTTCCCCCCGCGTTTGTAACGGGCACGGAACGCAACCGCCTTCGACGCGTCGTAGCCGACCGGAAAGCGCCTGCGTCGACGACGAAACCGAGAAAAAAAAGGAATTTCTAACCGATCGTGGGGTGAAATCGGTTCCACGTCTTTCCTTTCCGCCGGACCTCTCCGTTTCCGCGGACTCTCCGTTTCCGCGAACTCGCCGTTTCCGCGGACTCTCCGTTTCCGCGAACTCGCCGTTTCCGCGAACTCGCCGTTTCCGCGGACTCTCCGTTTTCCCAGATTCCCATCCTCGAGGCTTCGTGGATGCAGGCGGCCGTCGAGAATGGCTCACAGCCAGTGTTCAATGCTCGTTACGAGCGCGGGGAGAATGCATCGCAAGCCGAGGGAGCTATTTCGAAGGGGAGCAGACCGAAACCTAACTTGCGTACCGAGTTTTCACGTAGAAAGGCCGGTCCTGAAACTTTTTCATGGGTCCTCGCATAAAAATATTTGAATTCTCACGGAAGAAGATAAAAAAAAAATGATTCGAAGGCCATCAATCCGCAAACCCTTTTGCGAGTCGGCCTCAGCCGAATCGACCGGTCGGCCACACCTGAAATCCGGCTCCCACGGACTCGGCCCCGATTCCGCTCCGTGGCGACGCAAGCGAAGCGTTGACGACTCGTCAATTCGGGCTCGTGGCATGTGGGCGTTGCACGGCCGGGGGGCGTGGCGGAAACGCGGCGGGAATCGGGCGGAAACGATTCGAAGGGTTCGAGATTTCGCGATGCGGTTTTCTCGGCATGGGTTCCCGCGCGAGTCGGTTTCGCCATCCGCAGGAATCTCGCGTCGATTCTTCATCTGAGTCTCGTGTAAAAATTAATTCGGCGGACTCTAAAATGTTCGAGGCCGTCGTTCTTTCCTTTTAGCGTTTTAGTCTTAGTAAAGTTTTTTTTTAATAAATGAGTTTTTTAAATAAATAAAAATAAGAGAGGGAACTCACGCTCCCGAAGTTTCGACGCGTATCGGACGAGATGACAAAGACTGACGGTATTATGACGTGACGCCTGACTGCGCCGCGTGAATCAGCCAGGCTCGGAAATGGTTCAGGTCCGGACAGAGCTTCCAGATGAGCCATTATGTCGCCGGTCCCGACGGGGTCCCCTTCCCATTTTGGGGTCGGAGTCATCGATTAGTGGCGGGGGCGCGCTTTCGCGATTTCACCGATGATCGCGAACGGGTTCTTTCGTCTCCGATGGTTTCCATCGTCTGAATCCATTTCGCGGCACCGATCGCGATTCGATCCGCGAGTCTCCGCGAAGGCCAGGGATGCCGAGGGAGAAGGAGAGGGAGGGAGGAGGGAGGGAGGAAGGGAGAAGGAGAGGGAGGGAGGGAGGGAGGGAGGGCGTTAGTGGTGTCGGCTGGGATTCCGAACCGGCGTCGGTCCGGATCCAGAACGGATTTTCTGTTCGGGTCGGGTCTTCTCCCTCGCTTTTTCTTTTCGCCAGAGGAGAAGGGGAAATGTAGGGAAAGGGCGGGATTCAGTCTGAAAAGAACTGTCATGACGTTCCTCTCCAGCCGTTGGAGGTGAAAGCCGCTGCACTCCGTCATAGTGAGTTTCGTTTTTAGCGGCACTTTATTTTTAGCGGTTCATTCAAGCGAATTTGAACGGCGTTCGTTTTCCGTACTGGATTGCTTTTCGAAGCGAGGACTCTTTAAGTACGGTTAAAATGCTCTCTGAAGTACTGCGGACTCGTGACAGATTTTTTGACCCGAATGAGATGAGTCGAGGTTGAACTTAAAGGGAGGCAAGGAAATCTGGTCTATCCGTGAGAAATTATTTTTTGTTTAGCTTCAGAAGAGAAGAGAGAAAATTGTAACGACTGTCCCATTTTAAGGGGGACTGTCCCATTTTAAGGGGGACTGTCCCATTTTAAGGGGGACTGTCCCATTTTAAGGGAGACTGTCCCCTTCTAAGGGGACAGTCGATAGAGAAGAGGTAAACGTAGAGAAACCAGACTCGCACGAATTCCACAAGTTTCTCTTTTCAATGAAAGGAAAAGGAATCAATGTACATCGGATCAATTTTCATTTCTCGGACCTATTTTTTTTTTCTGCAAAGAGATCAGCTTTCCTTGCAATCTTTCGCTGATCGACGGCGAAGAAACCGCCTTCCGCCAGCCTTCATACTTCCGCCTTCCGCCCACATCCCGCGATAGAAGCGAAACCGAACGAACCCCGAAAAGCCTCTTCGCCCAGGGCGAAGAGACCCAGCTCGTCTTCGTCATTCGCATCTACCTCAACGAGATTAGTTAGTTAAGCGACCGTTAAGCGACTGTTCAGCGAGTGAAGCGACTGTCGCTTCTCGGAAGGTCAAAACTTATTTGAAAGGCTATGAGGAGTTTCTAGATCGTCTCGATCCAGTCACTAGTTTGGTCAAAGTGATCGCTGAATCGTTCGTTCGAAGTTCTTTTGATTCAAAATAGTTACACATTTGGCCGTCGTCGAATTTTATCGCGACATTTTTTCTTCGCGACTGGCAGTAGTCGACGAACCGTACTGATTGGGTGACGAAAAATGCTGCATGGTTAATGCGTGCATTAAGAACAGAGAGATTAAGACCAAAAACGGCTGAAACTCTCTTGGATTGACATCGCACAGACGCAGAGGTGAAAATGGAGGACGCAGAGACGGGGAAGAAAGAAAGAGAGAAGGAGGAAGAGAAAGAGCCGGACGGAGGCGGAGGAAGAAGGAAGTTCGGAGTCCTCTTCCTGGTGGGATGCATGCTGGCCGTCGCGGCGATCGCTGCCGTCCTCGTGGTCGTCTTTGCCTTCCGTCAGCAGCCCGAACCGGTGAAGAACTCGGTCGTCCGTCAGCATCCGGAACGAGCCAAGGACTTGAGGGGTCTCTACCATCAGATTCCCGGGGCGGCCCAGGGCTCGACGGGGCCGTTTCGTCGGCGTCCCGATCCGGCCGAGGACCGAATAGGAGCCTCCCGTCAGAATTCCGATGCGGTCGCGGGCAGCACGGAAGGCGGTGGCTCCACCTGGATTGCCAAGCCCGACGACGAGGTCATGCTCTCTGACGTCACCTTCAGTCCGTCGCATTTCGCATCGTCTCTGTGGAAGGCCACCGGGCCGCCTTACAAAGTCACGAATGGACATCAAGGCCCGGCTAAGTGACACCTCCCAAATGCGACCACGTCTTGAGAAGCTGCCAGCATCCCAAACCAGAGATTGTTATCGTTTCCTTTCACCGAGTTTGCAGAGATGAACTTGAAGGAATTAGAGACAGAAATCACCGGACTTGCAGCATCCCGATTGGAACTCCATGACTCAAGTGGTATAAATCAAAATATGAATGGTGTGAGGTTAGGCTTTGAGGTCTTCGGAAATTCCAGCTATTTGGTATATCCATCCTTCTGCTCGATGCATGTTTTACTGCATGCGACGGAAGGCACCCAGTGAGATCGAACCGGAAGTCTTTCCTGTTCATTTTCAACTACCCTTTAAAGTAGGATGGATATGCCATTGCTACTGTGTTGTTCCATTACTTGTCTCCCTAGTCTTTTGTTAAGAATAAAAAGGCGTAAGTTTCAATTATTTAGTCGAGAGAAGTCCAATTCAAATTTTCAATGCGTCAGTTCGTGGCTTTCGACGAAGAGAGATAATTTGAAAATACTACCTGGACCAGCCGTATCTCCAAAATAAGAACTCTGAACGAAATACGATAAACTCGCCCTCAAGCGAAAAATGAGACAGTGTCCCACGTGAGATTTTGGCGCTACATTTTTGCCCCGTTCCGAACGCACAGACGAAAAAAAAACGTCAGCCTCACTACAATCACGATCGCACAACATCTTGAGCCCATTTGAAACGAAGGTTCCATCACTGAGGCCATCCGAAAACGAATCGTTGAGGTCACACGAGAAGTGAAACGCCTCCTTCTCGTCTCCGGTTCTCCTCCTCCATCGAAGGGAAGTGGAGAACTTCTCGGTGCGAGGAGTTTCCTGAATGCCGGTACTCAGTCGGCACGGGGACGTTGAGTAATCGTCGATGTTTTCGGGGATGCATCGACTTTTCGAGTCCGCTCGTATTTCGACTAAGAGTTAATGGCGAAAGGAGGATTCCAACTCATGACATTTTGGTTTCCTTCGAGTAATTTTCTTTTTAATTTGACTAATTTTACAATGTTGGACATCAAACATGAGGTCTATTCGAGAAGTGGAATGAACGCGTGAAGAACATGAACCATCTGGGACAGGTTCATCCATGGGGAACCCATATCTGGCACTTATTCGAATAAAGAAGCCGCTTGTAATCTCACGTGTGAAGGCAATAGAATGGATTCCGGGGAATTTTACGTGGGGGGGGGGGGGGGGGGGGGCAGATTGGCGGTCCCCGCCCCAAGTCTTCAGCGCTCCTCCTTCATTCCTTCGTTCAGCACCCACCTCCGGTCACAATTAGTAGATTGGTTAATAGATCATTCTCGGCTGCCTTGATCCACTCGGCTCATGAGTCAAATTACCCCACTGAATACAGGCTTTTGGCTTTCGTGAAGTCAGAGTGACATATATAATACCTAAAATATCTATATTGATGATTTTTGTGATACGGTATATCAGTTAATTATTTAAAATGCCGAAACCCATATATTGAATTGAGAGGCTCACCGCTAAGCAAATAACAGGTGCTCTGGAAACACGTTCGAACCAGCCGCGCGCAAATGACCGGAGAATGAAGCCTACTCTGTGAGAGCGCTGAGTCCAATTGTCTCAAGGACATGGGTCGTCTGAAATGAAGCCCGGGAACATATCTGGTGGTGGCTTGTGACCACGTTTTTCGTAGGTAGGCCAGGCTTAATCATATAAATTAAAAAAAATTTTTTTTACCTTGGTTGTCTTTATCATGATTCTGCCTTAAGTAGCTTTCCATTTGAAATCTTATCTTCATGCTATCAAGAAGTTCCTCCGAAGCAATGACTCTGAAATCATATGACTGTCAGAATCAAGTGAAAAGGCTTGACTCAAGAGAAAAAAAAAAAGTCATGCACATTTTCTTATTTGTAATCGGTAGGCATATTGGGTTTCATATGAATGAATACTCTTTCCAATTTGACCAGGACCACAAGTTCCCATCCAAAATTTTTCCCTCTCGATTGTTATTCTAGAGAGTGACCAAAAGTCCTGGCACACTTTTTGGGCCAGGACTTAATTAATTTATTTGTGTCACGGCAAAATTTTCTTATCTTTACAGTTTTTGTACAGTAACACATTTGTGATCTTAGGACATTGTTTTCTTCTTAATAAAAAGCTTATTGCTTATTGCCAAGATTGTAGAATAAATATACTAGTCTACATGTGTGCTAGGACTTTTGGATCATCCTGTTTTAATCCTGTTTAACGGAGTTCCTGATCCCAGAGAAACCCGGCAAATGTTTAGGCTCCAAGGGAACTCTGTGAAGGCCATGGATCGTAGAGGCCTCAAAAAAGAATTTTTACTACAGACAATTATTCTACTGCTCAGGCATGCCTGAAGAGGGCCGAAGGGCTCTCAGGTCTGAATTCAGAACATGGGGGAAAATGAAAAAGGAAGCCGGCTTGCAGGAATTCTCCCCTGCAGGCAAAAAAAAATTAAGAGAATGGAGAGGAAGACTCAGATAATTAGAGCATGAGCATGCAGTGATATTTTCATTTTATTCAAGAGGACACTACCACTACAAGTGTCATTCTAGTCTGTAGGACCAGGAAGTGGACACGAAGAGCGTCTGGAACCTCAGTCAATCGGTAGATAAATCATATACCATGTAATACAGGTTGTCCATAAAAGATTCATACAACTTTCAACTTTAATAAATCACGAACTGATGAATGTACATGTACGAGTATATGGTCGGCAGCAAACAAAAGCTTGATATATCTAGTTTCATTACATGCATTTCAAATTATAAAATAAAATTTGATTAAACTATTTTTCAGCTTGTCGAAAGTGAAATGGTGACTCCACAAGAGAAGGCGAGTGCATGTTGTTTGCAGAGTTGAAGTTAGTCACACAGTTGCAGCACAAGTTCAGAACTGTTTACGGCAAGGATCCTCTTGACTATGAGAAAAGGGCTCCTATAGGCTTTCAACATTGGATGCCGGTGTTGAACATGTATGGGAAGCCTTTGAGTGCAGCCCAAGATGGTCTGTGCGCCGTGCCAGTAGAGATTTGTAGATGCCACCTGAGCCCTCCTCTTTCGACACACGTCCTGTGACCTTAAATTGCTTCATCTATTGGTAATGCTGAATCACAGACAGGAGAATCCTTGCTGCAAACAGTTCCGAACTTGTGCCGCACTTGTGTGACTGACTTCAACTCCGCAAACTGCAACACACACCTGCCTTCTCTGGTGGAGTCGCTATTTCACTTTCGACATGCTGAAAAATAGTTTAATCAAATTTTATTTTAAAATGTGAAATGTATGTAATAAAACTAGAAATATCAAGCTTTTTTTGCTGCAAACTACATATACATGTACGTTTATCAGTTCATGATTTATTAAATATTAAAATTGTATTAATTTTTTATGGACACCCTGTACTTCATAACATTATCCCTTGTCATATCGTCCCATGTCATTTTCCCTTGCTTCATTCTTTGAGAGCCCATCCTTCCCAAAAGTCTCCCTTCAGATAAACTCTCTGAAAACATCTTGAGATATTTCTCAAGATGCTCTCTTCCTCATCTCATTCAGGAATTTCCATTAAAAAGCGATGAGACGCGATCCACTTACATTGATCCATTGGAAATCTGCGAGAGCCCTTGCATGGCAATCTGCTTCTGGAAATTTTCGATGGACTCGTTCTCTGTTCAATGAAAATCATTATATCGCTTTAACTCTCAGGGTGTTCCACGATTGCGTAATGAAAAGATGCTAACGCTTTTTACGGCACGCTGAATGCAGAAACAGTCTAACCTCAAATCCTCGAAAGTAATTGTTTTGGGGATTCTCTGCATTCCGTTTTATGACGTCGGTCTTCGCTTGGAAGAAATGAAGGTTGGCAGCATTGAAAGTCAATAGAACCACTTGAACTCCTTGCGTAGATCGCCCCTACAAGGTGAAAAAGGCCGTTCAACAAATTACATAACGCAAGGGGGGGGGAGGGGGATCAGACAAAGTGTTACGATTTGTTACGGGGGGGGGGGGGATTGCACGAATGTCACGGAACAGATTTTTTTATAAAAATAAAATAAATTATGCGACTGGAATTTCTTATTAGAAGGTTAATTGTTACGTAACGAATCACTCACACGACACAAGAGCCAACCCTACTGCCCACCCGCACCCACTACCCTTATTAACAGTGGAGTGAGTATTGGGAGCGTGGGAACGTTTGTAGACTTCCCTCTTACCTGTTGCAAAACTTGTTAAGTCGCAGTTTCGTGCCTGGACCTGCACAGACATTACACAGACTGGACATTAGTGAACCTGCACAGACAGGCCTAACAGGCTCAGTTTCCCTTTGGACGTTGCCCTCGTTCGTCTCTCTCTCGGCATCGCAATCTCTATTTCCGCCATTCTACCCGGCATTTCCCCGTCTCCATTTACTCATTTATAAAATCTCAAATCACCATCAATCAAAATGAACATTGGCAAAGGAAGAATTTCCTTGAATTATTTCCTTGAAGAAGAAACCGAATGAAAGAAAAAACTTTCCTTCTTTTTTTAAAACATTTTAATAATCTCTCAAATCATCTGTGGATAATCCAGTGTTACTAACGAGTGTTTAATAAACGAGTTTCTTTTTCAAATGCATTTTACTTGTTTATTTATCTCATTACTTAAAACAATTCTGAAGGAGGGTGGGGGAGTCATATTTTGTCGCGTAATTTTTTTCTTTTTTTGGGGGGGGGAGGGGGATCGAAGCTTTTGTTACGGAGTCCTACAGGGGGGAGGGGGTAAAAAAAAATTTTTTTAAATCACGTTACTTAATTTGTGAACGGCCCCAAATATCCTCAACTTTTGCGATCTTAGGAATGACAGGAAAAAAATTTGCTTTGGTTCGTTCAAGAGGACGAGGATAAGAGGAATGCGAGAAAAGGAAAAAAAAAAGAACACATTTCAGAGCACCACGAGAGGCCCATGCAGAAAGGATTCGGTGAAAAACCTTCGAGTGTTAACCCCGTGTTTGAGGAAGTACAAGTCTCTTCCGCATCGGAGGCCCCTATTCTCGATGTACGTCACGCAGTACGGCCACAAAACGGGTGGGAGGAGGTCCTTCGCGACTGGTTTTTTTTACTTCCCTCCGAGAGGAGGAAGGGAATATTCGACTTCGGCTCGGCATATTGCGAGATCATCCTGGATGTGTCCGGAAATATCTCCAAGTACTTGTATTATTCACTTCTTTTTTTTCTTTAACGAACCTGCCGTTTCAATATTTTTTATTATAAATATATGTAGTAAATGATAAATAAAAATATAAGAGACGTAGGTACGTACACATCCCATTCAAGATAAAAGGTATGTCACAGGCATCAATAAATATAGTCGAAGATTCCCAGCCGTGCTGAGCAAGAAACTAACAGCGTCGCAGGAGCGGTTGAAACATTTTTTAGGTGCGTACTGATCGTGGAGTTTTGGTCTTCATTGGAGGCCATTACCGGATGCTTCACCTTACGGGATGGTCGAGCATCTGAAGTAAAGCCTCTTTCAGCTTGAGGATCGAGGCCAAGTGGTCAAGGGAGTGAGGCGGCACGCGACTCGGTAGGTGCCGAGGTGCCAAGAGGGGAGGCAAAGGGCTTGGGTCTGAGAAATCTTTTAAAGAAGTCTTCGCGGAGAGAGTTCTGTTTTAAAGAGGGCTGACTCACCAAAAAATTGCAGAGAAGACTTTGTGGCATGGACAAAGTCATAGCAAACAATCAACTCTGAGCAGAAGTCTCTAAAATTTTCTGGAGATTCTTCCTACCAGTAAATGGGGAGGGGAAGGGGGGGGGGGTAATTGTCATCAATTAAAAACAACACGAAACAAATTACTATTTATTAAAGCGATTTCTGAGTCAAGTATTTGATTGGCATCACCAGTAATTATTTTTACAGTGAAATTTCCCAGTGGAAGTTATTTTGCAGTAGAAGTTAAAAGTTGCCCATCGCGACTTCTTACGTCATGGGTGCCATTGGATAGACATCGACTAGTAAAAATTAAGAGTCCATGGGCTCGATGTCAAGAGTTATAGGTGGAACAAAAAAAGGCCTATCAAATGGCGAGCTGCAGCGCTGCCATCTGGCATTTACTCGAACAAACAAGGTTTCCCCACAAGAGAAGAGTGATGGCGAACCAGTTGCCGTTGTCCCGGGTCATCCGTTGGGAGTGCAAACTTCGTCAGATACGCATTGAGCTTCATGGAAATAATTGGTGCTCTCCTTTCCGCGGATGTGATTTCCCCCAAAAAACTTCTCGGTCAATCGTATTTCCATCGTTAACCGATCTTTATGTCTAAGAAGTACACGGTGCCTTGGTGTTGGCTGCCGTGTCGTACATCAATAAGAAGTTGTTTAGTACACTGTCTCCTGATTGAATTCGCATCCCTTCACCCATGGGAGCGCTTCCATTGATAACAGGTTGTAACTTTCACATGGATGGTTTAGTCACTAAAGTTTTATGTATCATCCATCATACGATGCGCATCGACTGGAAGTTGTGTTTTCTCCGTTCTCCGCTAGAGGGGGGGAGAAGTACGGCTCAACAATTCGAAGGCAGTGCAGCTTCGTTTTCATGCCATGTCGTTTTTTTTTTTTACTTCAGCCCGAGTTGAAAGCAAAAAGTGGTGAATTGGTGTCGAATGTATTTTCTCTCCCAGATCCTTGCTTATGTCCCATGTTTTGTCCGTAGACTAATGCTTGAAGTTAGTCCCTCGAATGTAAATTCTTTTGTCGGCAGTGTTTTAAGAAAATGTATTTATACTTTCAGCTCACCATTTTTCGCTTTCTACTTAGGCTGAAGTAAAACCACGATATCGCACGGAAACGATGCTATTAAACAGGACTTCGCTACCTTGTACGAAACGGTAGCCTGCATCAAGGCACCGTGTGTTTCATTGTCCGTAAGGCGGCAAGCGAAGCTATGATTGACTCGGTAGTTTTGGCGAAAAATCAGCTCCACGGTGAGGAGAGCACTTTCCATGAAGCTCACGATCAGGGGCACCCAGAAGGGGGGTGGAGCATCGGGGACAATCTGCCCCGGGCCTCGCGTACCAAGGGGACCTCCAAAGGGCCTCGAGGGGCTCCCAAGGGGCCTCCGGTTTAGTTTTGCCCCGGGCCCCTGGAAACCTCTTGGCGGCCTTGTTTGAGATCTTCCTTGCGAAGTTCTCGGACTCATATGGGATGACTCGCGGCAGCGGCGAGTCATTCGCCATCACTCTTCTCTCGTGGAAACCTTGTTAGTTTGAGTACATGCCAGCTGGCAAGGTTGCGGTTCAATCATTCTATAACCCATTCTTCTTTACCAATAACTTTCGCCCTCATGCACCGATTGGATCGAGCCCACGGACAATTTTATTTTACAAATTGATGTCTAAAAAAATTACACCCATGACGTCAGAAGACGAGATAGGCAACTCTTATCTTCCATTGTAAAATAACGTTTTTCTAAAATATGGAAAACGGTACGTCGGAGCATGTTTTGTCCCCATGAGAAAGATAAATCCGCAGATGCTAAGGAATCAGTGTAGAAAAAAAAAAAGTTCTCTGTTTTCAGCGTCTTTGATGCTGGAGCGCTAACAGATACGAAGACATACGGCGAAGTACAATTTTAGTCAATGCTCTTTTCGCATTTGCTATATACTGAACCCTCGTTCGCTAAGCTGAAAGCTTACCTAACTCAGTTTTGATAAATGACAAAAGTAACTCGCACCCATCCAGGGACAGAGAGGGGTGGGGGGGGGGGGGCAACTGCGTCCCCCATGACCAGGTTCAAATAATATTTTTAATTATAAGATAAATTACACAAATATATCTAAATTGAGGCCTATAATATGAATCCCCAGTTTTTACCGCGGGTGAAAATTGAAAAAGGCGATAGAAAGGTAGTTAGCGGTGGAGGTGGTGGGGAACTAGGGAACCGCCCCCTATGAATAACTTCTGAATCCGCCACCTCAAACTTCTTATACATAACTGCAAAATGCATTTCATTAGGGAAGTACTTTCCAAAGTGTTACCCAACACATGGCACACCCTAACTGTATTATGCAATATCTCTGTCGATTAGCATGTCATGCATTCGAAGATGGTCAGGGGCTTGGTCAGGAAGGTCACTTTGGTGTGCTATCAGGCCTTTCTTAGATTTTTATAAGTGGAATAACCCTTTTTTCAATTCTGTTGAACCTGAAGTCTTGTTTTGCACTATTATGGAGTCTGAGGATCTTATATTCACACCTTATAACACCTTCCACCTTTTATTTGTTTCGTTTTCAGTTCAGGAGGCAACTCCAGACTTTAAAGATAGAGCACCTGACTGAAAATGTTTAAAATATGGTGTAAGTGGTGGATCAAAACCAGGCTCCATTTGAAAGTCTCACAATTTTTCTTGCTAAAATTGAAATCTAATTGTATGTTTGACTCGAGATTTCAGTCAAACGTCAGCAATTGACTGGGACAACTGCATTCGTGTCAACGAGTATATTCGATGTAGCCGCATGATCTGACGCAAGAGACTCCTTCAGTGGACAAAAGAGAGTAGACTTCGAAAAATAAAACCAGACGAGGTAACCAGCTGTAAAGAGAAAGAAAAATATGGAGAAATCCAATCGGAAAGGTGGAAAGAGAGAGGACGCTTAGTGTTGTCAATGTCATTTCTCACATCACAGTCATAGGAGAGAAGTCTTCCTGCTCTCGGTCGGTCTCAACCGTGAAAGACTGGAATGGAAGGGGGGGGGGGGGAAAAAAACAAAAATACTTTAAAAGAATGACGATAATTCATATCTATGAGATCTTGGGTCCCACGCGAGAGAGACGAGAGGAGAAACGACGAAACTGCAGATGCACACTGGAGAGATTTAAAACCAAACCGGGACATTTTTAAAAAAGAAAAACGCATTGCACCGTGTCTTGGAGGGTCCTAGCCCTCCTCCTTCACCACCTTGTCGGGTGCATCGCCTTCGAACTTCACGTTCCCGAAGAGGAAATGGTAACCGTGGTTGCCGTTGAGCTTCGGAGTCAGGGAATCGCTCTCGGCAGTGCGCGAGACGTTGCGCTCCGCACTGGGGAGGCTGAGGTCCGTCGGACCCTCGTCCATGTACGCGGCCACGGGCGGCGGTGCGTGGCGCAGCAGCGAAATGTTCTTGATTCCCTTCAGCTCTGATGGGTTCCGCAGAAATCTGTCACAAAAGACGGTCCACAAATAAGTTAGACAATATTTCACTCGCTTGAATTATTCACTTCACCAATTCACACAAGCTCAATCATTGATAACATGTTAATGCCACAATGATACCTAAAACCGTGCCAGATCTTGTTTCTCTGAAAGTAACGCGACGAAAATGAAAAACAAAATCCTAAATGTGTCTAAAAGCCAGTTTCTAACATCAACCAAAATACTACTGAATTATTGCTACATTCTAATAGTTTTATTCTGTAAAAGGAAGTCACTCGCGCTATTTACTTTTGGGTGCAATCGGTTACCAACTGTCTGTCCTGAACAGCCGAAATACGACATACAATTGGCAACTGTGACATGACGATTGTGTGTCAAAAATGGAAATGTTATATAATCATGGAAATGTTATACAACCTTGTCTGCTAACCTCATGGGACCTCGGTATGGCAACACGCGAAATAATGGAACAAGGGAATCATGCCCTTTTACAATCAGCAAAGGCCACTCCAGGAGGGGGGGGGGGGCACACATCCTCCCCTAGCATCCTCACATTTTTGCAGGACAAATCTTTGAGGTAGTCTACTGTTACGGATTCCAGACGGTTCCAATGTTTCATGTAGTCATCCAGTCGAGAAAGCATAGCCCAACAAAGGCCCCTGAATGGCAACGTCGGCAGATCATTCGCATGGGATAACTGGACTCGGTCCATTCATGGCTCTAAGCTGGCTTATTGTTCTTTGACATAAGACAGGAAGAAAATCGGTCCATTCAAAGCGACAGACTGACTAGCCGCCGTATAATTGGTGGACACCAGTCTATCCGTGGTTACATAGGGCCAGAAAGTGACATTGGAACAATGATAGGATGTCCGAATGATCCTTATTTGGGTGGGGCAAATCCTTCTTCACACGGCCGATTCGCCTCAGTAATATTCCTAAGACTCATTTTCTCCAGAACTGGAAAAACCTTCAAGGACGAAGATCCTAGTTGGCGGAAATAAATCAAGTTGTTAAGTATGGGATTCGCGAGATGGTTGAAACAGCAGGGTATCAGGAATCCAAGGTCAGCCAAAACATTGGGAGAAATGCGAGGGCCATATAATGCATTAACGAAGGCGAAAGGCAAGTCCACACATCCCATACGTGCAGCTTGTTTATAGAACATTTTTTCGTGTTAATCGATTAAAAAACTTCCGATTACCCTCGCATGCATGTTATCGATTACTGTTAATGTTCAATACTGTTCAACTGAATATTGGCACACATTTAAAACTCCATTACCAAATTAATCGACCATCCTCTGACTGGCATGAGATCTTGACTTTGCGCTAATGTTGAGAGTCAAGGAAGGCCCGCCCAAGCACTCTGTCAATACTACGCAAATATTGGCTTGATGATTTTGGCTGTTTGTACGATGGATTTGAATCGACGGTACATTTTCCATTGATTTCGTCCATTTTAGAATTGAGACGATTGAGATTAAAATGGAACATATTTGTTCATACAAAGTCAAACCGAAATGAGTACGCTACAAAGACAGTTCAGCAAATCTAAGATTTTTACCAGTATTAAAAATGAAAGTGTGAAAGCTAACTAGCCCCCCCCCCTCCATCTTCCTGGAGTGACCCCTAGAGCAGGCCCAGTTTTTTGGGTGGAAGATGCCTCCAAGTTTTTCAATGACTGGAATGAGGGTTGGGAATGCTCACTGGTAACAATGTCGTTCTCCTTGAACCTTCTTGAGGATGTTGACTCGATAGTAGTAGCGGAGAGCCCGAGACATTTTGTCGTAGTTCATGGAGAGATGGTTCTTCTGGATTCCCCAGAGACGAGCCAGCCCAGCAGGGTCCATGATTTTGAACACTCCCGTCTCGCGATTCTTCCACGCGATCAAGTGGGAATACTTCTGGCCCGGGTCGTTGAGCAGCTGCTGCAGGAAGTCCCACAGCAAGCGACCCCCTAGTAAAACAAATTGAATTACGTCATTTCTCAATCCGAACCCGCATGATGACTTCTATAGTTGATGGACCTGAGCATGATTCCAGTCAATTTTAAATGTATAATTGAATATGTGAAGATTTTTAAAATTTAATTCTTAAAATATAAATTTAATTTAATTTCATTCTTACTTAGATCTTTCAAATAAATAAATAAAAATTGTACGTAAAATGGGCACAGTACCAGATCCACTTTCAATCGTGTCAGAGCCAGTGGGCGTGGAAGGAGCAGACTCTGTCATGGGAGAGGACGGCGCCTGACCAGACCTCCCAGACCCTGCCTCTTCCCTCTCTCTTCCGCTGGGGCTCCGGGCAGGGGAGCGGATGGAGTACAAGGAACACTTCTGCTCCATGGGACTGGGACTGTTTGAGTCCTGCATGCTGTCTTCCGAGTCGGAGTGTCCCCCGTTCTGAAAAATCCATTCGCGGGTGCTCGTGATCGATTCGCCGATAAAAGGTGTATCGGTAATGAAATCTGCCGATTCCTAATGAATTATGAATGAGTATCTATGACGATGCAGGATTCTGATTTAAACAGGCTCTGACCGGACTGCACCGCATGCAAACCATCAACCAGCCAACTCTGTCATAGAGCGGTCATTAGGAATCAATTTTTGAAATAAAGATAATTTGTTTTATATTGAGGAATCTTGTCCATTCACTTCCATTCTCTAGCCAACAGGAACAAAATGCTGTCTGTTAATCTATGCGGCCAAAAATTGTCTGATGGACTGCAAAACTACTCACGATCGCATGATCACGAAATAATATCGAGGAAATAATTGTGGGATGGCTGAGGATCGACTCACCTGGTAGGCGGAAATAGAGGACGGAGTGGAAGAAACGTGGACAGTGACATGATTGGTTTCGTGGTGCTTCGGGCTCCCCGACTGACTATCCGTTGAAGGCGCGGGACTGAGTGTCACGGAATTCGACGGCTGAAGGTAGTGGTGGCCGTTGACCGAGTTGGTGGTGACCGGAGGATGCTCCCCACCGGTGGCCCACTGGATGTGGGAGTGAGGCGAGGGTGGGGGCCCGGCGAGGGGGAGCAGAGGACTGGCTGGGATCCTCCATGGAGCCGTGTGGAGAAGGAGTTGGAGGGCGTTATGGAGGATGTCCCCCGCCCCTGGGGCTCTCCCCGCAACGTCCCCCTTCGTCAACAGGCTCAACGCCTTCCCTGCAGTCCCAAGTCCAACTGTTATCGCCATTCCACTTCACACCCTTTCCTTCAATTACTCATCATTAATAAAGTACTTATACAAGTCCTCGACTACCACACGGCAATGTATATTCTTAATTCCTAACTCCGTCAAAACACTATATCACTTACGATATTCAAGTTATACCTGAATAACTTAAAGCGTTTATGAATTACCAGAGTACTTTTAAATATTCAAGATTGACATTGTTCGAATCATACTTTAATACTTGAATATTTCTTCAGTAATCGAGTGCTTAAACCTAGGACTCCCAATGGGGTTATATTAAAATCCAGCAGCTGTTTCTTGTCTTGACAGGCAACTTTTTTTCTCGTGAAGAATAAGGATCAAAGCCGACAAGGCGACGGTCCTTACAAAAGTAAAATAATAATAATAATAAATTACAAAATCCTTTACGAAATTGAATACCTTCAGACGAAAATTCATTCAAAACCAATTTGAATTCCAACCTGCTGAAATTAATGTTCAAACAACACTGACACAACGTAGCCCACGATTCGAAGTATAGCCCACTTTCGTTACTTTCATTTTGTGCTGCAGCTCTTCGATGGCCACAAAGGAGAGCGAGCCTCTCCTTTGTGGCCGCACAAGACATTTGGGAATTGATTTTTTCTCCCTAATTTCTTTCGACCGTGTCCAAAACGAACGATATTTTCCGTTAACGTGGAGTAGGAGTCACACGACCACAGAAAATGTGCGTGCAACTCCCGAATTTTTCTTTACGACTTTTGTAAAGTGAGATATCCACCGTTCCGTATCAAGAGAGCTCGGAAAAGCCGACAGATTCACGCTTAAAAAAGATTTTTGGTACCAAATTATGAAACGACTAAGTTGGAACTCCGAATTTCTCCTCGAAAAGAATTTCACAGATCCCATCATCTCGCCTCGGCCGTGAAGATGCCACGGAATCAGCGGGGCAAGAAATGTGCCGGCAAAGGCATGCCGTTCTTCCGCGGCGGCGGGTCCAGTGCCCGTTACGAATGTTCCCGAGAAAAATATAAGGAGAGAGGGAAGGAAAAAAAAAGGAAAAAAACAGTACACGACTACAAAAGGCAGACGGGTCCCATCGTGTGAAACTGGGGAAACACGAGGAGGGAAACCAGGTTCCCGTTACGCATAACTGTCACTTCGTGCTGATTCATTCAAACCGCATTCTCCCCGCGTTTCCGGCTCCTTCAACTTCCACAAATTTGCACCGATAAGGAAATGAGGAAACGGTGGATTGCTCAAGTTCAAGAACGGAGATGACGTCACCGAGGACCGGTTCCTCGGATTTTTCTTTTTTTTTACTCCTCGTCTCCCAGTCGGCCCAGGCTGGATATGGCCGCGGGGCTTCCTGTTCGGGACCAGGAAGTGGACGCCCGCCCCGGCGCTGCTTGCCACATTACACATATCATTCTCGGATCCACACTCACCATTCATGCAGAATTTCTCCACATCGATCGAGGGGAGATCGAATTCCGCCTGGAACCAATTGAGAAACGTGACCACGTCTTCCCGGGACCATAACCGGGGATCCGCAGCTGGAGACACACGGTTGGTGATGGAAGATAGAGAAAAATAAAAAAAGAAAACCACACTTGAATCATGAGGCAATTTCTCCGTTGACATTGACAAGATAAATAAAACGTCTTCTTCCCCCACTCACAATCCTTTTTCCTAAATTCTCTTCCGGCCTAACAATTACAATTAGAGTTTCTCCTTTTTTTTTTTACCCGCTATACTGCGCACTAAAAACCGTCCCCTCTCCCACCAAATTTCCATCCTCTTACCCACCTTTCATCTCTCCCACAAAACTGCGGTCTTCCTGCCCACCACCCCAACCTCGTCGAGTCGCGAGCCAGGAAAAGCCAAAACACGCCGGGGAATCCACGCGGCGACAGCCATGAGAGTCACGCAGACCAAGGTCTCCGAACGAAAACACTCATAGGCCCTCGTCCCACCTTCAAGGTGAACGATGTGTGTGTCTGTGTGTGTGTGTGTGTGTGTGTGTGTGTGGGGAGGCAAGGACGAACTGCTCGCTCCGTTATATTCCCGACCTGAACGCCTCTTCCGGATCATGACAAGGCATTCAAGGAGACATTAAAAACCGTCTCGAGCTATGGTTCTTGACGAAAACCGGATGAGGAATCGAAACGGCGTCCTTCTACGGTTTTCCTGGCACGGAACTCTGTCCATTTTACAACTTGTTGCTCTTATACGACTTCTCTCGTACAGACAAATGTCAAGGTTACTACTCGATCAAGAGAAAAAAAAAAAATTCAAGCATTCTGAGAAAGTTGATGGCCGCTGCCCACGAATTCCGAAGGTCACGTAGAAGGGAAACGCACACGTCTTCGACTGGATCGTTACAAAATTCAAGCCAAATTTAGGGCCGCATTTCAATTCGTCCCAATCCCCATGCGCGAATCAAATCCAGCGAGTTTCGCGCAACCACCGACGAAACTCGAAAAAAAAATAAAACTAAAGGTGCGTGACTCACCAATATGCTGCGGCATCTGGGACCTGAGGTCGAGCAGGGGGGAATGTGCGGCGGTGGCCGAAGGGGTGCTCGGGGTCGGGGTGCCCGGAGTGGGCAGGAGCAGCGGGTACCTCCAAAGCACCTCGGCGGGGGAGAAGGGCAGTTGAAGCGCCGGCGGCGGTGGCACCTTCATTCTCTTCCTCCTCGGGAGTCTCTGTCTCTCTTCTGCCTCCCTATCTCCTCCCACCATTCACTGCGAGCGAGAGACAACGGAATACCTCATCGTGGGAAGGAAGGAGGTGATGATGATGTCATGGGATAACCCATGACGGCATTTCCCTCTGTTAGTGCCAGGGGGTCGCGTTCGTTTTCGTCGCGCTGGGACTCATGCTTTCTCCGGGAATTTTTACTGCAGTAATCTTCTTCCGTTTCCTTAGTCTCTCCAAGGAAGCGAGCCTTTTAACGTTGTCTCTATGGCAGAGCCTCTCATCGTTAATGGTTCTTGAACGCTTCAATGTCTACGAAGGTAAAATATCCTTAATGAGCATCATGGAAGCAGATCTATTCCTCTTAAATTTTCAATGAAAGTTTTGGGCAGCGCGTTTCAGTTCGGCCTCACAAGAAACAGCTTCTTGGAGTGGGTTAAGAAAAAAAAAAGGAATTCCAGCCCTCGAAGACAGGTGACTGGCTTTACCGACAAAAAAAGAAATGAACGCATGAGCAGAAGAACAAAAGAATAACTTTTGCCTGAAGAAAGAAATACAGTAAGAGATGAAGTATGAGATCTTCCTCATGTCTGCATCGTGACGGCGAAACCCGTCTGGCAGCACGGAGTGGATCCTTCCTCCCAGCAAAGGATTCATTACGAAGCGCCCAAGTATGTCGAAGGGATCGGATCGGAAGGAGGGATAAAAATAGGGGCGAGTCAGCCAGTAGAAATGCGGAAGGAGGAAGGCGGAAAGGAGGCAGGGAGGAAGGGAGGAAGGGAAGAAGCATCTCCCCTCATTTCCCATTCTCACGCCGAAAGAAAACAAGGAAGGAGGTAGATCTCTCTCCAGACTCGATCGGGGAGACTCTTCCACGTTTTACGCCTCTCTTCGCGATTTTCCTCTCCGCAGCTTTTCCACACTTCATTGGCGGGGAAGCTGCCGATGCCGGTGCATCCGAAATCGAATAGGAAGGAAACTCATGCCCTCCCGAGCATATAAAAAAAAAAGAGCGGGAAAATTTGATCGGATTTTGGTGCACCCTCCCATGTCGGATCGAAGTCCCCCATTCATTCTCAGACCGAACCGAACCCATCATTTCCATCAGCGAACTCGAACCACCAAGTTGCAATCAACCGATTTTATTATCTGTCAACCACCATCGAAGGGCTTTCCCCTTAAAAAAAAAAACTTTCTAACTGAATTTGCACTTTCTTGAGCCCATTCACTAGGAAGGGTGGGGAGCCCACCCAAACCGAACGGAACGGGTTCCAGGGCAATTATTATAGAACCGGAACAGAACCTAACAGGGCAGTCACCGGACCCGAACGAACCGGAACAGAACCTAACAGGGCGGTCGCCGAACCTGAACGAACTGCGCGAATATTCCTAACCCCGAACGCGAACGGAATCTAACAGAATGGGCATCGAACCCGAACGAATCGAACGATGAAAGTTCGGCAAACCTACCGGATGACTGCCGTGGCATTACCGCTGTCGTCGTCGGCGAACAGCGAGGAGCGGGTTTTGCCGGCAATCGACAGAACGAACCGAAGAAGGAAGTGGTGAAACGAAAATTCACAAGCCTCACTCGTTCGATCTGCGGGACGGTCGCCTCCGATCGCGAGCAGCATCGCGAGATCACCGCGGGCTTTGCAGGCGATGTCGCTTCGGGATGTGCCAAAATCTCGGTCGATGGGGGAAATCGAAGCACGGAAGCCGCACTCGGAGCAGAGGTGGAGAAGTGGAAGGAGAAGCGGAGAAAAGGTGACTGATGGAGGGGCAGGGAAAAAGGTAGAAGGGGGGAAAAAAGTAGATGCGCTTGGAGTCTCCCGGCTTTACCCTTACCCCGAAGGATTCACCGTTAGAGGGAAGGGAAAAAGCCGGGACTCGGACTCGGAAGCACTACTGCCGTATATCCCCATGCCGTTACGCCTCGACTCTCTCCTAGCGGCCTCCGACTTCCCAAACCTCACTTCGTTTCCTCCCGATCGCGAAAATTGCAGTCTCGGAGAAAACGGGTCATTCGCGCACACGGCATCACCTGAGGAAACGGGAGACGGCCGGAATGGAAGGAGGAAAGGAAGGGAAGGGAAAGGAGGGGAAGGGAAGAGGGACCCGGGGACGTGTATAACGGAGGCGCTCTTCCGCATCGGCGTTGCCCCAGTTCCGACAAAACGGTCCAGCCAGCTGCTCCGACTGGGACCGGGATCCGTCCCAAAGACACTCCTCGTTCACCTCACCTCTTCCTCTTCCTCCTCCTCCTTCCCCTCCCACTGTTATCTCCCCGTTGTCCCACCACCGGGATTCCTTCTCCGGCAACGGGCTTCCCCGAGACGCTCGATCGGACGGCGTTCACTTCCTGCCTCGCCCATTCTCGGCGCGGCGACCTTATGTCTTCCTGCATTTTCCGACGAGCCCGTGACTCGCAAAAATTAACTCTCGGAAGCACGTGCAAGGGCAGGTGCACGAAAGCTCCTACCGCACCGAAGGCGAGTGCAAATCGTAACGAGTTCTGCCGTCCGATCGGCGCGAAATTCGAATGCCCATTTTTCTATCCTCGAATGGTAATTTGAAAAAGTACCGTCGGTTATTTCAGGTGATTGGGCTTCGTACCTGCCAGCAATCGTTAACTATCGGCTTCATCATGCTAAACATTGACAGACAAATCGACTCGTGAATTGCCTACCTATGATAATTAAGATGCATAGCCGAACAAGACCTTGATTGTTGCACAGATTCCGATTTGAGTGAGCGTTATTCATCCTGCAAATTTCCTCGTGAAACCACCGTTTGTAAACCTTCATCGTTGATCCAAAAAAAAAAAAAGAAAGTAAAACAGCAAGCACGGAATATCCGCATTTTCTCATAAAATGACCGACTTTGCACGGCTGCTATCCAAACCTGGCGGTACCTCATCGCCTGAAATCAACCGGCTCGTGTCATTTTTCCGGAACCAAGCCTTTCTTGCAAAAGTACTTCCAGATTTAGAATTTTACGGCTATTTATCTTAACTATTTATAATATAACGGCAGTTTCGGCTCTTCTTGCAGGCCCTCTCCCCAATTTTCTACTTCCATCAGCTGCAATTCATCGAGTCGGTACGATTTCTGGAGCTCATTTGCGAGCCCAGTAAGAGAGAACCGATATGACATAACAGGCCAACAAGCAGAGCAGGTCCTGCAATCCCAGAAGACAAAAAACATTCCTGTATGACTCAATCCATATTTCACAAGGCAATTAACCCATCAGAGCCGGTTTTCGATTCATGCCTTTCACTTTTACTCATTCCCGGTCCCATGCATGCAAAGAATATTACCGGATTCCCAATTATCCTGCACCCGCCTAGAAATGAACGAGAAGCGGATCGGGCGCAATTCCGTTAGACCGGGCACGATTCCGCTGGATCGGGTGCGATTCCTCGAGGTAATTTCGACTTTTACACCTCGAGCCTGCGCCGCGAAGACTTTCGAACTCCCTCATTTCCGCCGATACGGGACGAGGAAGATTTATCGCCCGAGTTGAACTTTCAAGAACGCACACTTCGATGTCACGACCAGGTTCCGATAAGGCTTCTCTCTCCCTCGCAGGACTCTACATCCCGTTCCCACGAGATGCCAATCGTAGCACGGAAACCTCTCCGAGCACGAGGAAACAGACGGGGGAGGGAATGTCCCAAATGCGGATGTCTCTGCTCGCGTCCCGTTCCCTTCCTCGAGGGATTGCATTACGCCTCGACCGCGTCACGCCTCATCACGCCCGGGTGTCCGTATCCACGTTCCCCGCTAACGGTCCAGCCCCGACGAGGACGCCAACATACCCTGGCATGGACTGTAGCCGGGAGGCCTGCTGGCTTCGTCGAGGAGAAGGGAGGGACGGAACCGGAAATCAGAGCCCGGGCCGGAAGGAAATCTCCGGCTCAGAACGGAAATGAGAAAACGGAGGAAAGAGGAGGCCTTTTCCATTTTCTCTCCCTCCCTTCTCGCTCTCTCTCTCTCTCTCTCGCTCTCTTCCTTCCTTCCTCTCGTTCCTTCCGTTTTTCCTTGCCTGCATCGAGCTGGAAGTCTTCCCGAAGACTCCTCCGTCCTTCCTGCCCGGCATAATGGATAAGGGTCCGGGGAGCCAATCGTTATCCTTCCACGGAGGAAAAGCGAATCGAGGAAAATCGCGGACGGAAGTAACCGGAGAATGCGCGATCGAATCCGCCAGGGAACGGCCGTATTTCTTCGGTCGTTTCCTGCAATCCCCCCGAGACGCCGCGTCGTCGACGGTTCGGACGCGGGGAAATGGATTCCGAGAGGGGAAAGAGAATCCGGACCCCGAAAAACAGGCGAAACCTTCGGAGCCAGAAAGGATTCGGATGAATATTTCAGTGTTTGGGGCAGACGGAATGATGGATGGCTGAGATTCTTCCTCCGAAGAAGAAGTCCGGGAAAACAGCCTTTGGCCCCGCGCAGACGAAGCATTCCGATGGGTATCGAAATCGTGGGAAAATGCGATTTCCGGTCGCAGGACTCCTTTTTACGCAATCGGAAGTGGGTATCCTGCCAACGACTTTGTTTTGTACGCAACCGAACGTTCCTTAACGGTCTCCGGGATCGTCCCCCTCGTTACACCCTCGTTACAACCCTCTACCTGTGCCACCTGTGGCCTTGACGAGACACGGAAAGTCCTCATCTCGCGAGATGCGTACGACCTTGTCCGATCTTCTTTTGTTGCCCAGTCGCTCCTCCCAAAATCCCCTCTTACGAGCCGTGGGTATTCCCCCCCCCCCCCATTCAATCCCCCCGGGGGCCCTCGAGAGACGAGCCGGAAGAGACCGAGACCGAAGACCGGACTATCCCGCCCTGGCCGGGTCTTCTTCCTTCGCCTTCCGCTTCCGTTTCACCCTCTCGTTTCTCCGCTTTTGAAAATAAAAATGATCCACGACTCGGCGGAGTGGTGACATCATGAAAGAAACATTAGCGAAGATTCGATATCGGTCTGTGAGGTCCCCCCCCCCCCCTTCGCATTCGTTCCATACGTCTCACGATGCCAAACTTTTTCA